AAGTCGTGAACCGGCGGCGACTAGAGGAGAGACTTGCACCGTCCCTGCCCCAGCCCCAGCCGGCTGCCCCGGGGGCCGGGAGCTAGGAGCACAGGGCGGGTTTGGGCTGCGCACTGTGGGTGCGGCACCCCAGAGCTGCCGTTGCCCTCACTCAGGTGATCCGCCTGAGCGTGCACACCCCCAAGGCCCAGGCCGAGCCGCAGCTCTATGAGACGGACCAGGGGGAGGTGTTCCTGCGGCGGGACGGGAGCATCCAGGGCCCGCTGCCCGGCCACGCCATCCAGGAGTGGTGCAGACAGGTGAGTGGCAGAGGCTGGCCCTGGGCCCCCTCCCCACTCACTGGGCAGTCCTGGGCGAGCCCTCGGGTTTCCCTTGGTGCTCCGTGGCCGGGTGAGTGTGCGGGCAGGGCTGGGTGGAAATAACCCTACCACCTTCTGTATTCCACTGCGTGGAACAGTGGGGAGCTAGCAGAGTAGAATATTGATAAGTCTTAAGACACTCCGAGGACTGTATACTACGTTTTGGGGGAGGCCCTCAAGATAGGGGGCCGTGAGTGCTGGACGCAGTCCCAAGAAGGCTTTTTTAGAGGGAAACATCAGGTGGCAGAAAAGCAGAGGAAGACAAGGGACTGACAGAGGGCAAGGACATGGGGGGGAGGGTGCCAGCTTGAGCCTGCCTCTGGTGTTCGCGGAGGCTGCAGAGGATGGATGCTCAGCTGCCCTCATTACCCCAGGGCTACTCCATCAGGGGTGGCTGCTTGGCCAGGGGACCAGGCTCCCTACCTAGCAGGGCCAAGCTGGTGCCCAGTGGCCTTGAGCAGGCCCCCCGGGCTCTCTGGGCCTTGCCTTTCTCCATCAGTTCAACCCTGGGAGAAGGTCGTGTGGACCTGAGAGGACATCAGCTTAGACACCTGTTTCTATGATGTCCCCTCAGAAGTGGGCAGCGGAGCTGAGCAAGCTGGAGGAGAGGGTGAAGGTGTTGACGGTGGAGAAGGAGCAGCTCCAGCAGCAGCTGCAGCAGCACAGGCCCGGCTCCTGCACCTGCTGCGTCCTGTGAGGGCCCCTGGAGAAGCGAGGGTGGGGTGAAGCTGGCACTCGCCCTGGGAGGTGCAGGGATTTCCTGTTTGAGCCACAGTCCTCCCAATAAACCCACCTGGCTGCTCAGGGGGCACCAGGGCCACCAGGCTGCCTTGCTCCTTCAGCAACACTGCACACACGGGCTGGTCCCATGTGGCTTCAATCCTGAGCAGACCTCAGGCTGTGTAGCTAAGAAATTGCTCTTAGCATGATCCGCAAAAAACCTTACCTTCAGAAAGCTGTGCGAACTTGGCCAGAGCTATACTAAGGCTGAGCTAGAAGGGATTGTCTCTATCCCTAAGACGCTCATCTTGCCCAGGCCAGGGTCTCGACTCCAGTTGGCTAGACAGGGCCAGAAAGGAATTTGCCATCTTGGGAAATCCCCTGCAGATGGCAGGCCACATGGGTAACTGTGGTTACAGGGCAAACAGGCCACCCTGCAGTCTCAACCCTGGCACACTGGAACTTGTGATTCTCATAGCTCTTCAATAAATTACAGGGGTCTGGGGCAGGAATGATTATTTCTAGGTCACTTGGCCAGCCAGTTGGATGTAGCTGGGTCATGAAGTCCCATGCCCAGTCCCCCTCTGTCCAGGAGGCCCAGCCATCCCTGGGCTCCTACCACACAGAGATGAGGGAGAAGGAGCCCAGATGGTCAGGCTCCAGTCCAGCTCTGCCTGAACGACTGGGTACCTTGGGGGCAAAGTGCTACACCTCAGATAGTAGCAGCGCACTTTGTCACGCTCAGGCTGGTACCGTGTCTCTCCAGCACACACCAGCACTTGCATGAAAAAGGTCTGACTTCCATCCAGGCACCCTCCAGCCACTGGAGGAGTCCTGCCCAGCCATCCCCCCCCCCCCC